AATATAAGTAAAAAGTTAAAAAATTAATTTGCATCCTATGAAAAGCCTTCAAGATAGCTACACTCATTCACCACTTAATTCTAACCTTACATTCATGCAAAGCTGTTTCGTTTTAGTGTTCTTATCTATAGAATAGAGATTAAATATTCTTTGAAAGCGTATTTTTGAGAACTCTTAGGGCGTGTTCGGACTACGCAAACCACCTGATGATACGAAACATCCATGTTTGACGGTAGGACCAAATGTAAAGCTCGACTTCTTTATTAATGAGATACATATAATAATATACAATGAGACACAACTCGAGCCATAAAGAAAAAGGTTCATTGAAAAGGCTGAAGTCTTTAGAGTTATATAGTGCCGTTAAGGTATTGCCCTCCTGAAAAAAGGAGATTAAATCGACATTTGATATCCAGCTATTTGCCGTGCAACTATATGACCCGCCCCGCTCTATCATGGAGTTATTATGATTTGTCAACTTCGCAGGCAGAAATCTCCACTAACCGATATGATGATCTTAGTAAAAACTTACAGGTATGTAATTGACTTATGCAGAGTAATTTTCAACGTACACTGCTTAGAGTTTAAAATTAGCCATCACAAAACACTAAGGCTGATGCGATATTCTGTCATCAATAGGACTCAATTTAAAATAATTTTATGAGACATAGATATATTAGAAAGTCATCCATTACTTACATGTTACTTAATATCTTTTGTAGGCGTTAGTTGTAGCTTCATAAGTACTTGTATAATTAAAACTGTAAGAGCTTTGGACATTAAATTACGGAGTACAAAGGCATTGTCCCAGAAGTATATTCACTGGTTGGATCATTTTATATGTCGAATTTTTACGTGTGCAATTTTTCTAATAACAGAAGTAATATGGTTATGCAGTTTAAACGGCCAAAAGTCTATCAGAAAAATGCCATGGAATCGTTTCTACCCATTTGCGCACTATGATCTCGCGTTATGACTAGAAGACAAAGCGAGCAGACTGAAGATGTTGAGTGTAATTTTTGAGAAAAATTTGAGCTAGGAGTATTGTTATACAAGAAAATGTCAGTACTGAATAATGCGTTAGTGATGTACTTAGATGATAACTTAGTGCGATGGCATTTTTGAACCCATCGCAACAGAGAGCATCGACCGCTTGCTTTTTAAAGGTGTAACTGGGACTTATTTTAGGGAGCCTTTTTGACTACTGAACATTATAATAGGCTTAAAATTCAGTACATTAAAAACACGCAACGGCTTCGCACCTTGACAGCATAATAAATGAGTTACCGCCGTCTACATCACCTGCAGCTGATAAGTATATATCTATATATAACTGAGTGACAAATTGTTCTTGTTCATATTTATATAAAATTTCAATGTTAAAGATTCTGCCGATATTGTATTTAAATATTTGGCTATTAATGCCTTTGAGCTCTCTATGGCTCTGTTCTTAAGTAATTGTTTATTGGTAAACGTTGGCTCAATTGCTTTCGGATACGTCCATCCGTACCTGTATCTATAACTACACTTCGCTTTTGCTTTTATTAATTTGGTGTTATGGCCTTAAACAATATATGCGATATTCGTTCTTAGAAGCAGTAGTTTAATGGAGCTGACCTGGAGGTATCTATAATAGAAGCTTTAGTATCTTCTGTCAACGTTGTTGTCCGTCGACTACTGCGTAAAGTACTACAAATAGTAATGAACCAGTCTGCTCAATAATGTTACCGAGAAACCTCGAAAAGCGCGTAATTGCGATTGATTACTGCAAGATCTCAACGTTTCCCAAAAATTTAAACAATTTGATTTCTCTCTACAGGACGTGGATAGGTTGTTCAGTCCATTATGATAAACATAATCGCTTATGGAAATATGCGTACATATATGTAACTTGTTTCACAAAAATGTTATTATTTCCGTGTCAGCATCTTACATCGGTTTTATAGCACAATCGGATAATGAAATCAAAGAGTTGTTCTTCATGCCTTAATAATTTTTCCCGTTAAAAAACGCGGTCGAATACGATGTTTTGCACAGCACTGTTCCTGTGATTGCGTAGTAAATAACGTGCTGCGTTGCTAAACTAGATTTGAATCGGGGCTTAAACATACTTTGTTCTAACCATCTGAGGCAATGCCTAACAGGTTAGGTATTGGGCATACAACACGGAAAAGCATTTGTCTTGATTTACATTTTTTCCTTGAGGAGGTCAGTTACCTAGCTATAAGTGTCCGAACAGGCGATACTGGGTAGGTGTGTGCTGCTGTGTGTTCCTACTGAGAAACACCGCTTCTCTATGTGTCGACCTATTGTTGACTACGTAAGATGGATGTTACCATCAGCTTACACTGAAAATCGATTTTCTATCGACGGGCCGACTGGCGACTTTCGAATTCGATCACGTCTTCTTAATTTAGTGCTGTGTTATATTGCTGATTATTTCAACCTACTGCTTGATAAGCGCGTGAGATGTACTGTTTGGTGCCCATTGTGGGGTAACGTTTCCAGCTTGCTGAGCATTTCCTAGTCTGGTCATCTCGCGTGAGTTTTCGACATTAAAGGATAATCAAGTGCATGGCGATGACAGGGGCACAATAACGTCTACTTGAGACATATTATGAGAGTCACGCTAGGGTAAGTTCACATGCGAATGAACGAACTCACCGCTGGACACTTGAAGGCGCTTTGAGCATTAAGCTTCTTTGGTTCATAAAACTTCATTTGGTCACGCGCAATTAACAAAGAGGAAGTGGAAAAGAAAGCGTAGCAAAGGTGCGACCGATGATTGAACGAAATAAAGAAATAGGTCCGAGTGCTTTGGGGTGCTGCAAGGTTGTTACATACGACAGGTGTTTAACATGAGACCGGACCCAGTTCGGTCGTCTGTGTGCCATAAAGTAAGGACCCTAAATTTGTATCGTAAAAACTAACT